TTTTTTACGTGGAAGCGCCTTTATTTTAACGTATTAAAAGTTAATATCGGTTAATATGTATATTATGAAAAATAACGTATTGAACAAAAACTGGTTCCATTTGGATATTGACGTATTTGAACTACAAGATCCATTTGGACAGTTTCCTATTTGCAAATGAGATCGGTTTCGAAGATCGGGGGCCAGATAGGCTATACCTAGTCGAAAATTTCAATATTTGGCGATTACGTCGATTGCCAAAAATATAAGCGAAGCTTTACAACAACGATGGATGTAACAGTTCTACAAATTATACAACTTAATGGTACAATTTTTTATTTTTAAAAAAAATCCATTATGCTTAAAATTATTTTAAAGGAACAATTATTATTAAAGAACCTAGGAAGACATTTATTTGGGGATATTTTGACGTAGAACCCAGCGTATCATCTCTTACAAAGTATGATTCAATTTAAAAAAAAAACGTTAAAAGTAGACGGTAACTTATATTGTCTATTAAAATTCATGAAAATTTGACTTTTAAGTCGATAATTTCCTGTTTGAAATAAATGTGTAAATTGGTTGTTTTAAACGTTTTATATTCCGAGTAAAGTGAGACTGCCGGAAATATTTCGTAATTTGTCTGTTTCGCCAGACTTTGTATGGATTTCAATATCCGTGTAAAACTCTTTGTACAATATTTCAATCGTTACTCGTGTTTAATTTTTTTAATAGTCGTTTATTTTTTATTTATTTGATTTTTAATTTTAATTATTCAAACGGAGTTAATACCGATAATTTATGCGGGCGGCTGCGATATTATCAAAACATTGAAATTGTTTATAATATGCAAATTATAAGTGTTTTAAGAGTGCCCGTCACGTGTGCCGAAATAATAATAATTACTCGTCTCGTCAGGATCTCTGGTTATAATGACATTAATATAATATTGTTACTCCATTTACCAGCTCTACGCCTAAAACTCTATAATACCTCTCTCTCTCTCGATAATTTCAAATCCGAATAATTATAAAATAAACGTTTACGCAGGTACCTTTTTACTTTTTAATCATACAAAAATCAATAAATAACAATATTATTCGAAATCTTGAATCGCAAAATTTTAAACATCGCGAAAGTGACCGATTAAAAAAATAATTCTTTATATAATGATTTTTTTCCCATACGATTACACTTTTTCTGTTACCCAGTAAAAATTCTCCAAATTATTCGCATCATACACATTGCAAGACACAGATTTTCCATCCGACAGTACTCATGTAATTGAAAAACTTTGTCTAGATCAATTATACAGTTTTTCTTATCGATTAAAATATTATTTTAAGTCCAGATTTTTGTGCAGCTAACGCCTAAAATCCGTGCAATTACAATGCTGAAATGTGCAAAAATACGCAACACATTTTTTTTTTAAATTACTTCAAATTTTATTTGTATTGTTTTTTATTTTTTATAATCATTTAGAATATTTGAGTAAAATTTAATTTTTAAGTATTATAAAAAAATAAAAAATTTAAACTGCTTTAAAGTACATTTGATTAAAATGTATTATCATGCACATATCTAAGTTTTTTTCTGTACAGTTGTGTCTTCTGTTACCTAATATGTGTTTTAATTGTGAAAAAACGCGTTCTACATCGACACTTGTTATCGGACACTGTTTGTATTATATTATATCGATATCTGTGTACAATTTGTTATTAGATATAAAAGTCCGATACTTCATGTAACAACATAATAATATAGCAATGATAAAATAACATAAATTAAAAATTAACATATGTTAATTTAAAAAGATGGTATAATATATTATGGAGTACAAATGTACTAATTAGTACATTTTTATAAAATAAAAAACCTGAAACGTGCAATGTACTGCAAAATAAATAATTTCTTTAAATTAATCCACTTCACTTGATTTGGATTCGTAGCTTGTTTCTATAGGATTTAGAACGTGCCATAAAAAGATGCGAATGCACGGGAATCATCCGGTCTTTAGTTATAAGCGAAAAAACGTGACTAATATCTAATCGACATTAACAGCTTATCGGAAATAATTTTTTTGATTTAAATGATTTTTGGTTGCTTTCAACACAATATCAACTAAATTATCCCGTATATATATATATATGTATATCGCTATACCTTTCAAACTTTCCTCCTGTACAACCGTGGTCTATATTTGAGAATATGATAAAAACGCCGGAAATAAAATTATGCCGAATGTAATATTACAATGTCGTTGTTAAAACACTTTCATTATTTTATTATATAATGTTTGCAATGGTGGTAATACACCACAATATTGTAGATTTGGCGAGGTCTCCCCTCGGTGCGAACATTTTTACGCGACAAGGTTCTTCTGAAAATAAAAACAATTGTAAATACAACTTTTTATTATTCACCATAATGTTGTTTCTGATAGGCGGGGGGGAGGGGCTTGAAGTCTTTAGCTTGATGTCTGATATGTTTCGCCAGTACGTGAAATAATAGATTTGTATTTATTGTTTCACTAGTTGATGCTACTGCCTTACAAACAATACAAGGCTTCCGCCAATTTAGAAAACAATTAGATAACGGTGTTAACATTTTTCAACGTGCAATGTCACTATCACGCGTTTTAGCGATCGAACTCGTACCTACGTTAATAAGTCGATTGCAAGTACACGGTGTTATTTTTTCCCTAGACAATAATTAATTATTGAAATGTAAACGCAGGGTCCAAGTCCATAGAGTGTTTCGCAATTCAGAAGAAACAAAAAAATAATAAAACCGTGCCTAATAAAGATAGTGTGAAATTACATTGCAACCGGAAAACAGTAAAAAAACGCCACTCGGCAAAAAATCACAAGCAAGAAAATCACGATCTGAGCATTAGCATAATGGGTATATCTACGTATTGTTTTACTATGTACGTTACATTTCGACTAATAATATTGTAACAAAAAACGAAATATTTACGGCAGAATAAATATTTGAAAAATCGCTAAATACGAATTTGTAACGTTGAAGTAATTTGATTAATTACCTATTTTATAAGACACACAAAAAAAAAAAAAAAAATAATAACAATAATAATGATAATCACAGGAATTTAAACGATCCGTTTATTTTATGTGTATCAGCGTTCAACAATTTATGAAGTTCTCAAACACTATGTTGTAGTATTAAACGTCCGGAGCACCATGTCATACCGGTTAGCGGCGGTCACTCGTTAGCGCAGGATAATAAACGGACTGGCCGACGATTAAGATCTCTTGTGTATTATTATTATACGCTACCTGGGTTGTTGTTGACAGTCGTTTGTCTCCACCGAAAACAGCTGGACATGCACGTAAATGCGATACGTGAGATGCATATATACTTACTGAAACAATATAATAAATAACGTACGTATTATCCCGTTCAAACGGACCGTTCGTCTGCAGGCCGGAGGCGACGATAATACAGTCTCGGGAAAAATAATATTGATAATTAATATAGTATTTTTTTTTTGTTTTTTTTGTTTTTTTTTTTTTGTTTCATAATTGACGATAGATATCTAGGGCTGTGGCGTAGCTAGACGGGAAAGGGCCCCGGGACAATTAAAAAAAAAAAAAAAAAACTAGGCCCTCTATTACTTACATAATCTTTATGCAAATTCGAAATGTACCTACATGTAATATTGTTTTATTGGATGTTCGCTCGTGAGTATTGTATAGTAACGCGGAACCACAAAATGATAAACAGATAATTAATAAACAAACAGAGTTAAAAGGAAATCCTGTGCACTCTACAGTTTGTTACAGAATACAAATTATACAAACTATCAGCGTACCGTATGGTGAACGCCGTTCATTAAAATATTAAATATCGTGTATTATTATTATATTTATGAAATACCGACTGTGACTGGAATTACCGCGTGAGATTTAAAAAAAAAAAAAAACATTCATTATTGAGTACACGAAAATGTGCAACTGTTTTAAGGAGGCAATTTCAGAATGCTGTCCGCGGCTCCCCGAGCTCCGGGGCCCCCGGGGCCGCGGGACACTGCCCCGCTTTGCCCTATGATAGCTACGTTACTGATCTAGGCCCTAGTCAGTTCGATAGGCCATTTCTAACCGCATATTCTATTATAATATCATACCTAACCAATTTATAATCATTAATCGTATTGCATGCCGTTCGCCGTTCGGTGACTCTTCACGTTTACATTATGTTCGATACATTAGAATCTCTCAGCGGTTAGGTCAGGGGATCTACCCGCAGCGGCCTAATCGGGATTCGTCACGAGTGGGCGGGGGAGGACCTATCCGGGCGTAATAAACGATTTCGTTGCGTAACAAAATACACATTTTTGAGCTACGCATAATTTATACACACTTAATGATTAGCGCAGTTTGTATTATGCTCGTATCATAGCGAAACACCGTAGACTATCTCGTGCAAAAACAGAACTGCGACTATCAAATATGATAATACCGGTCACACACTATTACGCAACACAATACGGTACACTAGTACAACGTTTCACAAGAATTTGGCTAACGTCGGATTAACGGTCCGGTAAAGCCCAGCGAAGTCATACCTGAAAATTGGCTCTCTTTATAAACATTATAATTCATATGTAAACTGTTGTGATACGAAAATTGTTTCCGGAAGTTCTCTCAGCCCTGTCCCCCTTTCTTAATTCGGGTTCGCGTTCGCCTCAAGAACTTAAAAAAAATACTATCAATATTCAATATACACAGTGAAAATTCCAACCGCCGTTTTTCCAAAGCCAATACATCAACAACTTTGTCAACCGTAATTAGCGTCATACGTATTATCTGTGTAGATCGAGGAGAACCAATCCATTTTATCTGTTTTCCGAAGTCAGTGTTTTTACGGTATTATGTTTTAGAATTTTTAAATTTTAATTTATAAACAACTATAATTTAAATCAATATTTTTTTTTTTTTACAATTCCACGTCCAAGGGAGAGGGGTCCACCCCTTGATTGCGTCACTGATCAGTTTTCGTTGGGGTTTCGATGAACACAGATTTTATGAAATGTTATGTTTTCCCGGCTCCTGATCGAATTGACAAGGAATTCCGCAATCTAGTACCTATAGGTGTTTTACCAATTATGGTTAACTCCACAATGTTAGCAAATTGGCATACCGAAAAATCTTGAATGTGGTAAATTATGATTTCTTATTTACATGTCTGGTTAATATACTGACAGTAATTATTATTATTTTTTGTATATAATCGCCGAATAATTCACGGTAACGTGTGGTTCAATATTTGAAAAACCATCACGTCTTTTTTTTTTTACACGATTTTTACGACGTTCATCGACATTGTACTTTGTGAATTGTGAATAGTCGATGTTATAACGATTGTGATTTGTTTATCTTACGGAATAATATTGTTCTTAAAATGCTTAGACAGCGTTTCAAACGAAAAACACGAGAACAAAAACTAAATATTTTTCAAAACGCGTGAATTTAAAACATTTGTCGACGTCATTATTCACATAATACATATACAAATTAAGGAGATATTTATATGCCATACAAAGTAAACACCTTTAAGAATAGGTAAATAATGTATGCAGATATGTACTAAACATATCAACAAATATCCTTAAAAGTAAAATATGCCGTAAAAAAAAAAAAAAAAAAATGATTGTTGTTATAAAACTATGTGAAAAATGTCTCAAAAATGTACGAAATTCTTAAAATATACCTATACTGCAGAAAAGTTTAAAGCTTTGAAAATGCTAAAATGTGCGAAATAAAATGTTGTGTATATAACCGTTGAGTTTTGAAACATATTTTAGTATAAAATAAATATTTGTTAGAACAACTGATAAAAATATGCAAAAGCACATAAATATTTTCCCTATTAATGACACTTCAATAATTGTTTACTGCTACTAATTTTTATTAGAATGCAAATCACCGTGTAAAATTCCCGAAATGAACCCGAAAGGGAAGAGACCTCTTGGGAACAAGAAGAGACGTCGTGTAATCTCTAAATGGATGAGGGTGAGATTGGACATTATACTAGAGTAGCTGTCATGGGGAATTGGGCATGCGAGGAGATGGTTTTAATATAGTGATGGCAGATAACCCCGAGAAAACGAAAAGAGATATACGGATCTTTTCTAAAAAAAAAATAGAAAAAAAAATCGCAACTACGGGGAAATTGAAAACTTTGAAAGATTAAAATGAATAAATCCCTCGTTCGCGGACACCCGACGACACACCGCAATGCCAATAAGTTATACAAATAAAAATATCGTTTCGAGTGCGGTTATCGGGCAATTTAATACCTACCTAAAGTCATCATGCGTCCGATCTGTTAAGTCGAATATATTATTTAGTATTGTATAGATATTACAGGTATTTACACACTATATTATACATTCTACAAGGAGATTATGGTAAATGATTCCAATAATAATAATTACAAGGAAAAAAAAAAAAAAAAATTGTATTAATTACGTATTACAGGTTGTTCGAGAGTTATAATTGTCGGCATTTCGCAAACGAGTTGATAATACTCGTATTAACTATTGATTTATTTCAATCGGTATTTCTCTAATTTCCAGTACCCACGATTTTGTCTTGTCTATTTACTTTATCAGTGGCCAAGTTCGACACCCGCACGATATTATAATACCACGCGCTGATCGTAATTTTTACCGCAACTGCACGTGCGTTTCAAAATTATTTCGGTACGCACAAAGCGAATTTTCTCCGAGTACAATCACAATAACATTATACATCGTTATTGTTATTATTATTATTATTATTATTATAACCGTCTTCGGGCCTTTGAGGAATCGCGCGACTTCGTCTTATACGCGTAAACCGCAACTTATTCCGGGATCCGGGCTAATAAACTCGCCGTTTCCGTGCGATATTTTCTCCGGTTGTGCCTAACAAGAACGTCATGTAATCCGGTGCAGCGAGTAGACGGTCGAACTCAAACGGCGTTAATGTACAGTGTCGGCGGTCGGCCGGGTTGCCGCGAACAGACGAAACTGACGGGGTCGGGGATGCTATTATCGTGTTCCGTCTGCGGTCCTCGAAATAAAGTTAGTACAACCGATATCGCCCGGATAAAAGGAATCAGTTGGCATAATTACACCGGTAACTTGTTCGGTGTTTTTTTTTCGACGGTCGTATATAAAAACAAAGCTTTCTCGTTAACGTCGATATCGGCTGCTGCCTCTCGCAACAACCGTCTCGGTTAAGATATATCGCCGTTCGCCGCGAGACTCGAGTATATAGAATATCTCTGGAGCACGGGTGGGGGGGGGGAATGGGGGTTGCGCGAGTGAACGAACAAATTTTAAAAACAAGACGTTTCCTAACAGGCGGCTTTTTCAGACACCAGAAAACCACACGTCGATAGAAAACACAATTACCTTTATATTATTATGACATAGATGTTTAGTTTCTAAAATATTTTTATTCTCGTGGAAATTTCTCCATTTTTCCGTTCGAAAACCCGTTATTTCGGAAATTGCGATCCCTAAAAATTATCCCCCGACGGTAATAGTAACTATGTTTTTGGTTCCGGGGAAGAAGGGTTCCCAAGTAAACATTAGGAATTTTTTTTTATCGTTATCTTATTTCATTTTTGAATACTTTATTTTTTGATCTAAATACCGTAAGTGTATTCACAATATTTTAACACGTTTTGTACTGAAAATTAAAATATATCTTGTTTGGAAAAATAAAAAGCTAATTCGTATTTATTTCAAGGTCTTGATTCGGGAGGAGCTTGACAAAATTTAGGAAAACTAGTACCTCAGCATTCTTATTTGCGCCGATGTTTTGAAACAAAGTTACGTAGGAATTAAATTTAAATTGCATAATACATACTAGAAATTGAAATATTGTGTTCAAAATTTTGGAATAATATTGGAGTGCCCTTCCCGTCGGCCGTGAACATTCGGCTCGGCATATTTCGATAGAATATATAAGTACGATCCCGTGTAAAATAGGTTGCGGAACGCATTTTCCGGATTTGATTATAAAATTACAAAATAGAAAGTATGCGGCTATTATTAAATTGTCAGTTTAGAGCGGCTGAAGTCATTATTTTATTACATGGAGTTAATAATTTATAGGTCGACTATTTTAAAGGAATGCGTTGGTTTCATACTACGTGTTTTACGTTTGTTATATGAGTTATTTTATTTTTTCAGTTTTGCCTAGACAGTTTTTGGGCCTTTTGTAAAATTTTATTTTTAGAACATATCTTCTTTTTGAAATTAGTGATTCATATATTCTCTTTTAAGGCTACAAACTTTGTAAAACTAAGGGAATATAAACAATAAGTGATAAGGGAATAATATGGAAGTCAAAAAATAACAGATGAAAAATTTTCTAGTTCAACAAAAACCAGATAAAAATTAATTGCTTTTTCTCCGGAATTTTTTTTCTGGCTACCGCAGTGAATTAAACAAGGATTTCTTCAGGTCAACGAATACACAGGAAAGGGCGAAGTATTAAAATATTTTTTTTTCTTTATTAGAACCTAATTAAAATTGTAGACAGATTAGGTATTTAATGAAATAAAAATGGAACATTCTTTGGTACATGGGGGAGGGGCGATAATTTCATTCACCTCCCCTGACCATCAAGGATGCGTATGCACCTTTATATAACGATGGCTTACCCACAGTGTACTAACCATGTCTGATGCATTTTTTTTTTACAATAAAAAATAGCCGTAATATACTTTTTCTCGGTCGATTTTTCACATTTTTTTTTTTTCAAACAAAAAATTGAATTAATTATAATATAATATAGTATAATAGATTTTAGACTCTGAGCGTAGCAAGGAAGATATTGGTTCTACAATGCTGTTTATTTCATTTTTTTTTTCTTTCTTCTAGTCTGTGGACACGTTTCTTTTTAGTAAACTTGCTCCGATTTTCACGTGTATCAACTTTTCTGAGAGGTCAAGTTGTTTAGATGGTGCATTTTGATTTTTGATGCCATTTTTTTAAATAAAAATAATTAAGTGGGAAAAAACGTACAATTTCACGATATCATTTATATTTTACATTATTACGGATGTTTAAATGTTTATAACCAGAGAAATTGTTTTAATCGAAAAAATGACAAGAAACCTTTTTTGTTTCATTATATTTTTTTTTAATAATTGTTTTGAAATCAAATTTAAACGAAAATCGCAAAAGAAAAATTACGGTACTTCAGATTATGTATGAACTAAACTGCGCTCGGAATCGTCTTTTATCAGCAATGGTTTATCGTTGCTCAAATATATGAGTGAAATATCATTATGTATCCTATACTTTACCAACTTCTCACCTACAACAATGGCCGCTACCGACCCCAGTATCAGCTTTTTTTCTTGTTTTTATTTTGCGATAGGCTACTAATAATTTTTGTTTACAATTTTCTTTTCTCTTTTTTTTTGTTATTGTTTTCTCGAGTGTTGAAACGTTTAAACTTTTATTTTTTATTTTCTGATTGCGACCAACTATGCGATTCGTTTAACTATTCGATATTCGATGAAGAATATTGAGCCGATAATTTATTATTTTATTATATAGCGTTTAAAGTTTAGATGTATTTAATAAGAGGTGCGGAGCGCGGCAGGCGAGGGGAATTATTTTTAATACTCCTGCACCGCACGCCGTGCCATCATGTTCTTCTTAACTTTAAATATGCCATAATAAATAATAATAAACTGCGTTTGTTCAATATTCGATAAATCAAAATGTTCGAAAAGTGAAAGTGAAGTTAAAACCATTGAACGCTGACGAAAGTTTCAAAACCAAACGGTTTGTTTCCTCCCTCGCCCCCATCCTGTAAAAACGTATAGTTCCTATTATATTATTATACTATAATCGGTATATATTATACCTAACTACTTCAAATTTGCATGTTTTGAATAAAAAAAATAATAATATAGGTATATTAAAAAGGCCAAACGTTAATCGTAATTTTCGCGATATTTTTGCACGGTTGAAATTACACGCGATTCAAAAGCACTATATGAAAATACACACATTTTTAAAATCAAGAATATAGAACGGGGCGAGTCATTCATCCACCAACTAGCGATTTCCTGGGAGGATATAAAATTTATTTTATTTCTGTTATTTATTTTTTGTCCTTCATTATACGGTAAATGAGTATACGCTTTTGATTTTAAAATAAAAACACTCCTCTCTTATGCATATCACAATTTTTAACAATATAATCATTGTTTGAATCTATGAAGTCTAAAAATCTAAATATATACTCGTTTAAAGTACAATAAGTACGAGGAAAATCGGAAACAGTGTTAAAATAAATCTGAAACGACTTCGTATAATGATTAAAAAAACAGAAATCACTTAAAATTTCCCGGGAAAATCGCCAAAATAAATGGTTCACTTTTTACCATATGTAAATTTTATCATACTATACGTTTTAGGCTAACACGTAGCTATAGGCGGAGTTTTTTTTTCACTGAAAACGAGATACCGTTTTATTCCGCTGTCCGTTTTTCTCAAAAAAAAAAAAAAAAGGCCACTTTCCATTTGCATCCAAACATTATTTTGGGCGAAATGCACGCAATCTATTTTTCTTTACATATATTAAAATCAATTTAATCGAAAAAATTCAATGTATACTAAAGTCTGCTGGTCGGCACGAGAAATACTATATTATTTTCGTTGTGTTTACTGATCAAGAATAACTCTTAAAGAATTCGGTCGACATTTTGCGAATTATATCGTTAATTGATTTGAATTGATATATTTTTAGCCGATTTCGATATTGGTCGTTACTCAGTATCGGTTTTGTTAAGCACAAAAATGTCCAGAAGACTTTACTCGGCTAGTATTGTGCAATTTATTTCTACCTATACGGTTATACCTATATAAACTATTACTCGAAGAACGGTGACAATTTTTTATTTCGGTAACGTAAGGAAATTCACTCCCATGCTGGTGGAAAACGGTATCTTACTTTCGGAGAAAAACGGTTACATTCCGTGGCTGTTCCGGCTTTAAATTTATTCACAAAAAAATATAAATATATTATACAGCGTTTAATAATATTATTATTATGTACGACGACGACGACGAGGACGTTCGAATTTTCGGGGAGATATTTAATCCGACGACCCTACTCACGATCGCCACGACGCTATTTCGCGTTTAATTAATATTTTTATAGTCAGTTATAGAAACTAAAACTACGTAATATCATAATATGTTAACGTAGACATATTATTCCAACACGTACGAACGGTTTTTGTCGAATTTCCCCCGAAAATAGAGTGTATATTGCATTAAATATTTCGCCTGTTATTATATATTTTCTTCGGCCCCAGGGTAAGTCCTTTTATCCGATCAATTTAGTATTGATGAAAATATGAGGAAAATTCAATTTTAAAAATATCTATAATACATACAATTTAAAAATACATACGCCTATTTCATTTAAACCAAGAAATTAAAAAGACAAAATTATAAAAAAAAATTCGTTCAAAATTGACTTTTTCAATGGGCCCAACGATTTTTTAATATGTATATCTATTTTCCGCAAATTTTGGAGATTTATAGCGGTTCATTCTGGACCGAATCACCTTAGGCTCAGAGATTCAGGTGATAAAAGTTTGATTAAAGTGTTTATTAACCGTTTGTATACCCCAACACGGATTCCTCAAATGAAATCGGAGAAATTAAATTTTGTGTTCAGCGATCTTTTTAGGGTTTCGTTATTCGACCCTTGCCATTTTTATCATTTTTATGATCAAATTACATCGGTATGTATTTTCGGAATTAATATAATTAATTGTAGTAAAGTGTATACATAACATAATAATAGTATTACCCGGGTTCACCCGTGCGCGGTTTTTATTTTTTACCCTTTTTTTCTTTTTATTGCCTTCTCTGCGGAGTATATTATGATAACTGTAAAAGACAGAGCTGTCCCGCACGGATAAAACGTGACCTAGGCCCTTACTCAGAATGCAATCTATATGCCCTTGGCAAATTTGATCGAAATCCGTTCTACGACTTGGACGCGAAACGGTGACACAGTTACTATCGTCATTTATAACATTGTAGTAAACACTGTATTGTTCCGTACTGTTATACAGTACTTGGGTATTTACTGTTTCACAAAGAATATTTCTGTTTTGCGAAATACAATTGGGAGGAAATTCGACTCTATAGTGACTCTAGAGCTCTGCAGCTCACGGGTGTTTGATTTTATTTTTAACGGCGAGCGCATTACACATGCAAAATTATGTCTACAGGTGTGCGTAAACAATAATTATTATGTATGTTGTCATAATGATAATACGATTTATTTAGCGGTACACTAAAAACCTATATAATACTACCGCTGAGTACTTGTATATAATTTGTATACGATGTATTATATTTTTTAAATTATGCATAAACGATTTATTAACCGTATACATAATAGTAACATATACATTCGTTCAACCGTGCATATAAATTACGAACATGAAGTATTTGTGCATCAATTATCATATATTATAACTTGTAAATTAATAACAATTACAAAATAGCGACAAAAACCCAACAGAGATTTTTTTTTTTTTTTCCGTTAAATTCTGTTCTTCAGAAGAAAAATAAATACTCGAAAAGATATTGTTTCTTTCTGAAGATCATTGCTAGTACATTTTTCGATTTTATAAAGATGAATTTTCCAAAAATACTGTAAGCGAAAACTCCATTTTCTTTTTAACTTTCAAGAACTGTTGAAAACAAACTTCCGATCCGATCCACTGGAGACTTTCAATAATTTAATGTTGAAGAACTTCTAGCTTTAGAAAAACAAAAATATTCTCGGTTGGTACGTTCGTTGGCTGGTCTGTGTATGTAAAAACATAATGTGACCAAATCCGGCTCTTCACACCCTGGATAGGCCAATGTTTTGGGTGTTATTTAATTTATTTATACCGAATACAACCCATACATCACTGCTGTCAAAAACAGATTCTGAGTGGAGCTCGGTAAACCTATAGGGTTCTATAGTATTTGCCGTGCTTGTGTATAGCCTAGGTAACCCAGAAATAAGAAACAAAAGAAAACTTATGTATTGACATGTATCCGTTGTCTGTTTTGTTTAAGTAATTATTGAGATATAATCCCGTCAAGAATCTAGAAAATTTTTATCAAATGAAATATCCCCGGTAAATAATCAGCATCTTTTAAATCACGGAAACGAGAATAATTTAGAGCGTTTTCACTGCTTCCCTTTACCTTCTCAAAAGGTTAAGTAAGACTATAATTTAAACTTGTCCGGTATACACTCAGAATCAATAATATTCGCAACCGTTGTTGATTTTGTATTTTATCAAGTGGTTGATTGATTCTCGGTTATTAATTTTAAAACAAAAATCTCGGGGCAGGTATTCGCGATAATAACAAAGTGAATTGCACGACGTGCACGTCTTCAAAATGTCAAGGAAATGTCTACAATTGCAAACCAAATCATATTGAATTTACACGTTTTGCGTAGAGAATTTGAAAAATATCAATTTTTTTTTGGAGGGTGTTTATACCCTCAGACCTCTATCCTCTGGCGATTGATTTTGTAAGTAAGTATTTATAATTGTTCTTGTATAGTGCGTATACCTGTGTAGGTATACGCGCGGTATTCGAGTTAATATTTTCACCGATCGGTGTGGACAGGTTATATAAATTAGCCTGTATTATAATAATATACATTTTTATCGCTTCGGGCGATAATAGTAATAATTTTTTAAAGTTTTTTTTTTTTTTTATTGTATACCGTTTCTATAATATTTTAAAATATACTGCATCAACGTAATAGGTACATTAAATATGACTATACTGCTCTAACGATATTTTCCTGCAATCTTTCAATCGATACGTTTTTATCGGATCGTATTATTTATCAAAATAAATATAGCGGACGAATAAAATGACCAATTTGCCGAAACAGATACCTAGTTTTTTTCTTCGTTTTTTAAATTTTTTTTTTTTATTCTTGTCAGACTGATGTCATATAGGTAGCTATAAAACTGAATTACTTGGGAATATATAAATATGAACGTGGGAAATAACTAAACAAACAAACTAAACACGAAAGAATAAAACAGAACTAACTACTCGTATGTTGACTAAATATTACGTTCAGCTGCGGCACAGTAGTCGGCAATATCAGCGGCCATGTGGTTCTGCAGTGACAGTGGACGTCCTGGTCAATAAGGTATCCCCGTTTCACCGCGTCATCTTCAGACCTACCAACTCCCACTCTATCGGTCTATTATTTATTGTCTTTCGCGTTTGCTGTTGTAACTCGTACCCCCCGGAGGAAAATGCCCTGCCGGTTCTACCGACCGTACGATGCTCACCGCGATGATCTTTCCTCGCATTTACCCCGTTACGGGCGGGATAATTTCCCGCCACGACACGGGAAACATTTACGGAAATCTTCCTCGATTTCAGTCTGAAGTTATTGTAGTCACCTGTCCGCATGCATAGAACGCCTCGTTTCGTTAGTCCGTTTGCGTCTCTCTCTAAGGTCAGTGGCTATTATTCGATAAATATTTTACACTTATGTAATAATATTTCAATATGTACGTTTTGTATAATATTATACACGAGTATATTTTTTAAAAACTCGAGTTTCCGTGTGTTGCGATTATACGCACGTACATAATTTAATATGTAAATTAGGATAATAATACGTTTAGCTTACGCGATAAACATGTCACCGTATAAAATTCCAGTACGTTTAGTTATATTGTATTTTTACCTGTATCGTGTGTATTATTAGTGTCTATATTCCTACCCGCAGTTATACATCAATATAGCATACAAGTTCAGGTTTTCGTGTTTTCATACGGGAGCGTTTGAATACCGTTATATTTTTTTTAATTTATATAGGAATTTATTTTTCATCGCACCACCGTTTATTGGCATACGCATCGGTTTATTGGCCGCGATCGAGCGCGAGAAACCGAACAAAAAAAAAAATAATAATAAATATCATCGTCTCTGCTGTTGCATTTTAACGAGTAAAGTGTGAATAACGAACGTATTCTTCGGTTTTGCTCAGTTGTTGAAAAAAACTACAATATTATAGAATCAAAAAACGACATCTCGTGTCGTTTTTCTATTGAAGCGATATTTCTGCTACAGAAGACATAAGTTACAACAATATTAAAACCAACGAAATCGGTGACGCCGCTGCACACCGTAAATATTAACCGTACTGCTTATATGATTTTCTTTCGGGTTATTTCCAATAATTTCGAAAACCCCTCGGAAAATCGAAAAATGGACCGTCTAACGCACGGACTTGACGAAATGTCCTTTCGGTAAAGGCACAATGCTCTATACATCGGAACGAGATTTCTTTTCGAAAAGCTGTTTACAGACAGAAAAAAAAAACTAAGCTCCGTATCTAAAACAAGCGGACGATTCTTTTTTTTTTTTTTGAACAATCCTCGCGTTTCGATCTTTACGACGGACGACACCGTAGACAATAATATTATAATGGATAACCCGACCTTTACTGTCATCATGTACGAGTATTGTTTGCCGGAGAAAATAACGCGAATTTCGTTTTAATTTTAATTTTTTACTATTCAAAACGCCTACGTATATATGTACAAAAACGGTAAAGCTTAGACGGCGGCGGCGACTGTATTACAATAATATTATTATACCTTTATACGCATATACGTTTTTGAATTTTTTTTTTTTTTTTCCGGATTTTAATTAAATTCGCGCGAATACTCGGTATATATTATAATTAAATTTTCTCGTTTAGTCCACTCACCATACTACACACACTATATTATGCACGTATATTATTACGTCGTCTTTTACATTTTCTAAACGCATAATACGCGATGCGTCGAGGTATTATTTACGTGCGACGACGACGGCACACGGAATCTCCGAATAAAGTCTCGCGCAAAGGTCTCGCCGCGCGTACATATTATTGCAATAAGGAAACGCGCATACTTTGTAATCCGGCCGAAGACTCCGGCGGTCGCCGTACACGCTCGCTCTGACTCGATTGTCACTATCACACCGCGAAACAATAATATAATTGCGAAAAAAATATTTTGAAAAAACACGACTCGGAGTGTACGTAACGACAATATTGCGTTTGTACATAAATTAGTTTGCTTTTTGTTCACATACGGAATTAACCGAAAACTGTGTTGTAAGTCACCTGGTGACGGTCGTATACCGAAACCGAGTAGTTACGTAAATATATATGTCCGCATATATATACATAAACCATTATAACTTTATGTTTGTACCAAGGACCCCCCTCCCCCCAGACATATTATTTCTTAATTTTTTTGTTTTCTTATCATTCTATAGATCCCGATAATCCCTATGTTCCAATCACAGATGTGCATAACAATACCAATATAATATTATGCGTATCAGTGGACTGCGATTCTAATATTAAAATTTCGTAATTACGCGTTAATGGTTGACACCACTGCGAGAGTGCGCCGCGTCGCCATTAAAGTTCGTCCCGGACCATCAAGCCCGGATTAACACTATCGCAGGCCCTAGGCATTAATAATGAAAAACAAGGACGACAGTTAATTGTTTGATTTGCCACTAAGAAAGAAAAATCTGTCATCAAAATCGTTTTCATAGGCTCTAGAGTCGACTTTCATAACTTTTTTATACTTTTAAACTCGAAGTATTTTTACCTTAAACCACCGATTTTATTTTCTACCCACTCACCCGTCCATTCCAAGCCAAAATACCCCCGCACTACGTACGTCTATAGTGCCTATGTGCGTTAATACCGTCCTAGGTACCACAGAACCGTAGATATTGTAATTGCATAAGTGTTGTAAAAAAATGATTGGGATTCCTCCCCCACAGATCTTCGTTCTGGATCCGTGCCCGGTTTGTGTGTGTTTGTAATGGGTTTTAAAACTTCTTTCGCCTGTAGACCAAGCCACGTTATCGGCGCGTAACGCGACCCGTATTTAAAAAATTCAAGATCCCTACGGAAATCGCAATATAATTAGGTAGCTACTTTCAGTACGAACATCTAATTGTCTACGTATATTTGTTTTTGTTTATCCACGGGTGACCTCGGCGCAGTGGCGTGCGCGCGGGGAGTTAGAGATTTCACCCCCCCCCCGCCACAACTCATTGGATTTAAAATACGAACAAAATATGAGTGCCTAATCCGTTATCGAAATGCATTTATTTCGGCCAATTCGAAATAACGCTTGGTGCATTGATTAGAAATTGTTTTTATTTTTCTTTTCGGAATCCGGCTTTTAAACTATCGATTTACCAGCGTAGCCGAGTTGGGCAGATAGAAGATGACTTTACGGTTTGTCCGCGATTCCCGTTTGCTACGTCCCCCTCCGTCGATAATTCCCGGGCGCGCCACTGCCCCGGCGACGCGGATGTGACGATTTCGGTGGTCACGGACGAGAAGACCGTCAAACACTGTCGCGATGTTATTATTGGCACGCCATTGCCGGGGTCCGGCCGTGCCGTCGTGCGTGCGCGTGACGGATGCACGATAAATACCGCGCGGACGACGATCCGCGGGCAACGCGCGAATGGCGTTGTACTCGGTTTCGTTATTAATTAAAAGAAATAAAGAGAGACCAAAAAAAATTATTGAAAACAAAAACAAATGTTCAATCGCGCGGTTATTTGTCCGTTGCGAACACACGCGTATAGAGAGGAAATGAGAAAAAAAAAAAAAAAAAAATTAATTCGTTTAAACACTTTGCCGCGCGCGCGCGCTCGGCACACGAATAGGTTATGGGGACCCACGTTGTCCCTGTACGAGAGAGGGAAAAAACGCGCGCGTTTTTAGTATTTGCCGTTAAATTAATAATTTATATACACTATCGGGCAATAATAATAATTGTCGTACGTGTATTATGAGATTATAATACACGGCCGTTTGTACTTGTGTGCGCATGCAAATAAACACGCCGTATTATTATTTACGCGGTGCATTGTGCGCGCGG